ACAGGGGCGTGTCACGCTTAGAAACAGCGTTAGAAAGACATATAGGTATATAGACCCAACCTTAGTACTATCCTTTCATATAAGTACTAGGGTTGGGTCTATATACCTATATGTCTTTCTAACGCTGTTTCTAAGCGTGACACGCCCCTGTGGTCATATCTAACTGGTCAGCTTAGATGGCACAAGTGACATCTATGTTCTTCTAAAACCATGAACTATGAATCAACATGTTATTGGTTAATCTATCATTGAGTAATAATTCATAAAAAATCTTTATTATTTATTACCACTGCAAGCAATATATTAGGATTCAGATATTAGGAAAATATAAATACAGAATATTAGTTTCATCATGATCAGTAATAACTTAGATAAAGACACCAGTTTAAAGTAATATAAACTCATCTCCCACACATACTAGGTATAAGTTAAGACTACATAATTAAAAGATGTTTCTATATAAATCCTAGTCTATGGTAATAAGCATGACAACTACTCAACTCTTTAACACACCTTTCTGTAAGACTAAAGCTATGTGTAGACAGTTTAATAAATTCCTTTGATGTATTTTATAAAGTAAACATGTCATCACCTACATTAGAATGATAGTGTACAGTTAGCTAACTTTGTGACAGTGTACATAAGAACGCCACAAGTATGATTTGATGGCTCAACATGATCTCAGCATCATCACGATCATGGTACATATACTGACATAAGACATTCTGACACATGTCAAGTTCAACATGTGAATATATTAATAATTCCATTTTCTCCATCCAGCGGTTGTTATTTGCATGGTTTACACAATAAAGGGATCAACCACAGACGGCCTGCCCATACCCTTGACAAGTAAATGTGTTGTTTACTTTCAGACTGTTGTTATTTTGGCATGCATATATTTGGGGAGGATCCTGTCTGAAGAACTGTTAAATCTGTGGCAAGCTCCTTGAAGCTGTTCAAAGTTCAAAGTCACCCACCAGCAACCATATTCGGATCTAACAGATACTCAAGCAGCATGATACATGATAGCAAAGGTGTACGTGTACATATTGTATGGTCTCTGATATAACCAATTCATGTGCCTTAATGGTTGATTCTAGACATCTCATCCTCATTTATCAAACTCATCGAAAACATCGCATGTGAACCTGGACCTTCAATCTCCTACCTACCTGACACTGGCATTTACCAAAGATGAACAGGTGCTCAGTTAAATCAGTTTATGAATGCTACAAGATGCACATATGTTTTACAGTTCGATCGACAGTTCTTGCACATTGCATTTACCGCGGGGCGGGTTTTCCCCACTTTGTCTGGAATTCGTCCCTGTGGCTGATTGGTTGACTTGAATAATAATGACCATTGAGAGGTTGGGTTCATTCAGGACCAATCGTATAATTCCGGTAATGGACAATCTTCATTCGGTCATACTCGGGTCGTTTTCCGTTACAAATTCGAGAATAAGCTGCAAACGGAATCCACTGATTGAGTCACGGCGATTGTATGTACGCTTCAGACATATATGGATCGTGGTTTTCCCTAACATAAACTAGTGTGTATCAATACTGTATCGTTTTCTGATGATATAACTGAGCACATGGTTACTGCGCCAACAGTTTTATTACGTGGTCAAGCCTTAACTGTGGGCAGCACCTGCTCCCTCGACCGTAACGGACTCAGTGACTGGGCAGCTGTCTACATTGGAAGCATTTCTTCGACCCAAACAACGAGACATTCCAAATGTCTGCAGTAAATACTCAACATAATAAATTAAGATCTGGCCCCGATTTCAAGAAACAACTTAAGTTTTTACTCAAATTTCAAACTGAGTTGGACAATTTGAAACAGCTGAATTTTTAACTCAACTGCATTTTTTAAATAAAAAACCCAAACAACTTAAGTAATCTATCCGCCAAACTCAAACTGTCTACTATGTTTGAGTTTACTATCGATTTTAGTTCATTATGGGAAATGCATTTTTTCAAATTTGAGTAAGAACTCTAACTTAAGTCGAAACTCAGACTTAAGTTTGTTTCGAGAAATCAGGGCCTGGTATTGCAAATGCATTACATGTTATGTAATATGAACATGGAAGTGTAGCCAGCGGAATTATCAGCTGAGTTACTAAAACAAACATCGATCAAGGGATTAACCGATAACACATTGATTGATTAATTACTAATATACTCGATGCTCATGCTGTTGATCACTGGATTGTCTGGTCCAGACTCGATTATTTACAGACCGCCACCATATAGCTGGAATATTGCTGAGGGCGGCGTAAAACTAAACTCACTCACTCACTCACTCACTATACCTTTTGCTAAGTTTGACTCAATGCTTATACTAGATGTCCCACCGATGAAATCCGTCACAAACGAAAGGCCGGTAAAGTGTTCACGACCAATACATGGAATACCAAATATCTAAAAGAACCGTATACCATGTGCTACATTTAATGAAATCAATCAGTAATACTTGACTTCCTTGTGTCGTCACGATACAGTTCGTGGATACTGAGGGATATGTGAGCAATCTCTGCTCTATAAACAACCTGTCATCAGCGCCTTTAACCATAAACTAAATGTGAACGATGTGCTGGCATTACTGTTGCTAGGCAACTATTCTTTTAAGGAAAGGTGCATGGAAATGAAATGAATAAGGAAACGTACATAAACACACTTTGATGAAAAAGAGACATTTAAAATATAAGGCGGTTGGTAGCCCAGTCTGCCGAAATGCCAACAGGCGAAGGCGGCCTCAAAAGCACCTAACTGAAGAAGAAGAAGAAGAAGAAGAAGGTAGCCCAGTGGTTAAAGCGTTGGCTCGTCACGCCAAAGACCAGGTTTGATTCCCCGTTGTTGTTTTTTTGTTACAATGTTTTGTATCTATTGCTCGTGTCCCCTGTCGTGGTATTGCCCCACAATAGTTAAAAAAGACTTGAAATCATACCCAGAGTGTCAGAAGGGCTGTACTCCCCGCGGAGAACACGGACACTCTCCTGGTCTGCGCCAAACATTTGGGAGCGTCAGAAACTGTTGTACGTAGTCCCCCTGACGTGTGCTTTCTCTATCCAAGAACTACAGACTAGTCTAACATTTGTCTCTGCATGTAATCGTTTACTGTTGCTGGTTGGTGACAGTATATTAAAACATATGACCAGTTTCCCATTCACCACATCAAGTGAACCAGCAGGAGGACATGTAGTTCGAACGAAGGAGACCCATTTACGTTTCCTTGGTAACGTTACATACATTGTTATATATATTGTAATGTGACAGTGTTATTCATTGTGTCACAATGTGAGCAACAAGTTTACTTTTAAAGCTCTGTCTAGTAATTGGAGAAAGAAACGCAACAAATAAACAGTAGATAATTCCTGTATTTTAAAGAGATTCTTGATCTGAAGATCTGAAGTTTTAGGACGACACGGCATTTTTATTATTTAAGACAGAAGTCTGAAATTTGGCAGAATAATAACCCAGATGGGCATGTTTAAAATTGTCATTTCAAAGTCATCTCACAGACACCAGTTTGTCACCAGGGGGCGTCTTTCTCAGTATCTCGTATGAGCACCACGCGCTGCAATCACTGCACGGCATCTCCTTGGACAAGAACGGATAAGACGCCGGATTCTTTCCTGGGGAATGGCTCTCCACTCCTCCTGCAGTGCAACGGCGAGCTGTTGCAGCGTCTGTGGCGGCGGCTGACGTTGACGTACGCGTCGATCCAGAGTATCCCACAGGTGTTCAATAGGGTTGAGATCTGGTGATTTAGAGGGTCATGGCAAGACATTGACGTTGGAATTCTGCAGAAAGTTCATTGTTGCACGTGCAGTATGAGGCCGGGCGTTGTCCGTTGAAAAATCTGTGTCTGTTGGTCAATAATCGGGAGAAGGTGAAGCTCTAACACGTGGTTGATGTAACGTTGGGCTGTCAGGTTCCCTGGAACGATCACCAAGTCTGATTTCTGGTTGTATGAGATGGTTCCCCAAACCATGACGCTTTCTCCGCCAAATCTGTCCACCTGTCGGACGCAGATGGGCGCAAAACGTTATGACGTCTCCTATACAGACGCTGTCTTCCGTCGTGACGTTGCAAAAGAAACGTGATTCATCAGAAACCAGATTCGCCTCCAGTTTTGTAAAGTCCGTATCCTTACGTTGTTGCACCACCTGAGTCGTCGGCGTCGATGTAGGGGCGTAGTACAGGTCCAACAACTGGTCTACAGGCACGTAAACCCGCTTCTTTCAGACGGTTCCTAATCGTTTGAGCTGACACTCTCCTCAAACCTGGTATTTGTGTGGCAGTCACGGTTGGTAGGGCATGCCGATTACGCAGGTGATGGACCCGGATGTACCGATCTTGAAGGGGTCGTGATTCTTGGCCTTCCACTTCTCGGGCGATCGTTGGTCAAATTGAAGTTGTTGTAGCGGCTCCAAAGTCGGGATATCGTTGTTTTGTGAACATTTAGGTGCCGTGCAACAGTTCCAAAACTTTCTCCGGCTTGAACACGACCAATGGCGATATTTCGGTCGGCAGCACTCAATCGTGGCATTTTTAACACAGCTTTTCGGCGACAAATGAATGAATATAATACGGAAGCACATGGGCTTTTATACACCCTACATTAACTGCCATTTTCATGATTTGCATGTGTTTTTTTGTGCAGAAGTCACCATGACGGGGTCATTTCATGCGTTGTGACGGAATAAGCAATAAAATACACTTATGCGTACAAATGCAGTTGTTTGGATGGTAATCTTCATTAATTACGTGTATCATTTCAATACATTCGAATAAAATTTAGTTTGGAAGCAATAACTTCATTCAAACGAATTTTTCATATCTGAGGACAGGGTTGCGTTTCTGCTGGTGTATTTTTGACAGAGTTTAGCTGTATCGAGGCATAAATCAACCATTACTTTAAGGTTAGAGTTACCCTTACCAGACGTTTGTGGATGTGGTATTGGTTGTACGTATGTTTGATATCTTGAGGATTGCCAGTCTTTCAGTTTTCTCTTCTCGTCATGTGGCATGTGTTCTGTGATGAGAAAGGACACATACGGTTTTCATTTTTGCAATTAAGACTTGTTACATACTTGTACATTGATGAAAACATCATTTGACGTGTAAACTAATATCATTGATATTAGATAATTATAAAAAGATATATGTTTTACATATCTTATAACATACCCACAATGTGCTTATCTAGCAGCCATATTTCGATCAACCTACCTCCTGAAGATGTTTCAGATGTATCAGCAGATAGACAATCTTGTTCTGTTGATATCGAATCACTGATAATTCGTTCCCTTTTCAGTGAATTGTTCTCTGCAACAATTCAACATGAAGAAATATGCAGACTTTTTTAAAAGCTTGATTGTTATTAGTTAAGCAGAAATCATGCCACAAAGTTGAAAACGCATCAGAACCAGTGAAGCCTGACTCCCAGATTTGAGCATACCCACTTCAACACTTTCGTCATGCAGTAGTAACCATCATACAAAGGAAAGGCGAATATTGACAATCAACAAGCCGTAAATATCTGGCAGAAGGTGAGAGAAAGGTTTAAATAACAATCAGCGGCAGCAATTATTTGACAGTTGTTTTGTTTACAAAGGGCTTAAAAGGTCATATTCATATTCATATACAATATTCATATTCTATTATCTTTATAAATAAAATAGTTTTAGATTTACATGCTAGTGATACCCTTAGATGACTGGTTATTTGACTTGTATTCATTTTGTATGTAAAACCTTTCTCGTCACTATGTGGCTGAAATATTGCCGAGGTGACGTTAAATTATAACTCAGTCAATTCTATCACACGAGTAGGTGAGCAACTGCACCAGTAGTACATAATACGTGACCCCGTAATCGGTCTAGCTGTGTACATAACAACGCACGAAGATTGATTTACAGTTACCAGATAGTACACGATTGCTGTTAAAAAACACAAGGTCATACTGATAAACATTATTCTGCGTGACTAACAGTTACGGAATACTTCAAATAAGATAACAAGAACGCTGTGGCAATATCACATGCGTCGTTCATCATCTCTCATCTAAGATAGTATCTACAACACTCCACTAACTTGGGGGAACCGACTGCAAACTTTATGCAGCTGAATTGCACGAGGTTCATGCATCAAATTGCTGAAAAGCTTGTGCAAACATCGTGCATGTGAACAGCTGCGTTGTGGTGTAAAGGTTTGCTAAGAATTTACCCATTTTCACTGGTTTTCATTATTTTCAGAGCTCATGACAATAATCTTTTCAACGTTACGAATTTGTTTTACAATACATCAGTTCATGTGTAAACAGCACCTTCAAACAATATGGCATATTTTGCAAAATTTAGTATAAAACAGTTGACTGAAGTACGTGACCACCTTTACATCAATGAGTTTAAACTTTTGATGGGTGGGATATATTTTACATTGTTCCTGTTACAGTAGGGTATTCGAAATTATTACTAGGCTGATGTCGGACCCCAGGAGATCTCTTGTGTGGTGTCAGGCAACAAACACCTTCTTCTTTATGAAAATTGTGAAAAGCGGATACAACTGAACTACAATCTTAGTGATCAATGCACATAATTACCAGAGCTGTTTCGCCTTTCAAGTCGAATGAAATATATTTCGTTATAATTGATACATTGTCTATGTACTACTGGTGCACATACGAAATATATTTCTCCTGGAATAACCGCAAGATCAAACTTATACCTACACAGCTTGCAATGGTAACTTTTCTGTATCGAGGCATTAATCAACAATTACTTTAAGGTTAGAGTTACCCTTACCAGACGTTTGTGGATGTGGTATTGGTTGTACGTATGTTTGATATCTTGAAGATGATTGCCAGTCTTTCAGTTTTCTTTTCTTGTCATGTGGCATGTGTTTTGTGATGATAAAGGACACATACGGTTTTCATTTTTAGCAATTAAGACTTGTTACATGCTTGTAAATTGATGAAAACATCATTTGATGTGTAAACTAATATTGATATTAGATAATTATAAAGAGATATATGTTTTACATATCTTATAACATACCCACACTGTGCTTATCTAGCAGCTTTATTTTGATCAACCTACCTCCTGAAGATGTGTCAGATGTATCAGCAGATAGACAATCTTGTTCTGTTGATATCGAATCACTGATAATTCGTTTCCTTTTCATTGGCCTGCTCTCTGCAACAATTCAACATGAAGAAATATGCAGACTTTCTTAAAAGCTTGATTGTTATTAGCTAAGCAGATATCATGCCACAAAGTTGAAAGCGCATCAGAACCAGTGAAGCCTGACTCCCAGATTTGAGCATACCCACTTCAACACTTTCGTCATGCAGTAGTAACCATCATACAAAGGAAAGGCGAATATTGACAATCAACAAGCCGTAAATATCTGGCAGAAGGTGAGAGAAAGGCTTAAAATAACAATCAGCGGCAGCAATTATTTGACAGTTGTTTTGTTTACAAAGGGCTTAAAAGGTCATATTCATATTCATATACAATATTCATATTCTATTATCTTTATAAATAAAATAGTTTTAGATTTACATGCTAGTGATACCCTTAGATGACTGGTTATTTAACTTGTATTTATTTTGTATGTAAAACCTTTCTCGTCACTATGTGGCTGAAATATTGCCGAGGTGACGTTAAATTATAACTCAGTCAATTCTATCACACGAGTAGGTGAGCAACTGCACCAGTAGTACATAATACGTGACCCCGTAATCGGTCTAGCTGTGTACATAACAATCATTGACAATCAACAAGCCGTAAATATCTGGCAGAAGGTGAGAGAAAGGCTTACAATAACAATCAGCGGCAGCAATTATTTGACAGTTGTTTTGTTTACAAAGGTCGAGAAAGGTCAGATATATAATTACTCAGAAAAAGGGGCGTTTGCAAATGATGTATTCTGACAGGATGTGTTGTACCTGTTGTATCCACTTTCCTTTCAGACTGGCTCAGGTCTTGTAGCTTTATGTGAAGTTTTAATTCCTCAACTTCGGAGTCGAGTTGGCGCAAGCAGTTTAATATCAGGTGTTTTACTTCCTTCTGCCTCTTTATCATCTGTAGAGCATCCTCTCCAGTTTCGTGTTCAAACACAAACACTATACTCCCACTTTGGACTTCCTTCAATTTAGCCCGATATGTTCGCCTAGTTGAATCCTTTAGTTCGTACAGTGGCTCCATCACGGTCGGGGAGAGGTCAGCATTTAGCACCTTCTCGTCTGGTTTTGGCTCACACGTCCACTCGGTTTTGCAAGTGCTATTATAGGTTTCATCCCCATCTTCATCTTTGAACTGGATATACATTTCTTCTATTTCGTTTCCATCCTTTGATCTTGTAACTGAAAAATATGTACATAGCACACACAATCATTGTATAATTTAAGTGATCTGTAACTGACATTCATTAACTACTATATACATTGTGGCTTTACACTGATGCGTTGTGTCTTACCTTTAGTGCGACACTGTCGTATCTTCCCATGTATTTGAAAGCTTTTTGATTCCATTTTATCTGCAACAATATGTATATATATTAATGGCTTCGAGTTCATATGATTCCACAGTATTGTGTGAAAGATTGTCTTGAGAACTGAAGATTTTTATTATGGTTTACGGATTAAAGATAATGTGCAGCAGAGGGGGTTCGGGTGATCCTGGCACAGTCAGGCTGGTAAGGCACATCATCAGTGCATATTCGAGACCTGAAGAATCTGAAGAAGAGTTCAAGAAAGGGAATTTTGTTGTTCAAAAGACAGAGAGGGCTTATTCTGCAATCCCACTGGATCATGCTCCTGAACAGAATAATACAAGCGTAAAAGGTGACGGAGGTGCCATCGGTCTTACAGAGAATGCATCTGCCTTGAGAAGATGGACATTTGGCGGTCCAGAAGTGAACAGAATTCTTGAAGAATTTGATGCCTCTTGAACATGGACATACTAAGTAATCTTCTAGTAATATCAACAAGGGACATTGAAATTGCTGCATCAGCTGTTGTAAAAACTTTGAATAAAATTGAACGCCTTGGGAAAGATCAATACATAGACTTTGTCAATACTCCCAATATCACGGAAAATGGTGGTCAATTAAGGTTTTTAATATTTTCATATCGAATGGTACAAACAACATACATTTATCTGCCAAATGCCATGCATATTGTATGAAAATTGTGGAACTGACATTGAATCTAAGTCTCTGACGGTGTAATTTTGAGTGGAACGTGGCGGCCATCTTGAATATTCAATTCCTCCCTCTCTGTATATTACCTTTATTCAAGGCCTCCCTCTCTGTATATTATCTTTATAGTACAAGCAACATAACTGCCAAATTCCATGCATATTGTATGGAAATTGTGGTATATACATTGAATATAAGTCTCTGACGGTGTAATTTAGGGTGAAAAATGGCGGCCATCTTGAATTTTCAAAGCCTCTCTATCTGTATATCATCTTTATAGTACAAGCATCACATCTGCCTTTATTCATGCATCTTGTATGAAAATTGTGGAATTTACATGGAATCAAAGTCTCTGACGGTGTAATTTTGAGTGGAAATTGGTGGCCATCTTGAAAAATGGCGGCATCTTGACTACAAGTCGAACCCACCAAGAACTTTCCGGAGAATATGTAGACTCCCCAACCCGGATTACTCCCATCACTGTACCGTCCAGCAGTACAACGCCATGAGCATTATCATTATTATTATTATGTTTAACAGATTGAAGATGAAAATGCAGCAGAGAGGGTTCGGGTGATCCTGGCACAGTCAGGCTTGTAAGGCTCATCATCAGCTTAGGGCCCTTGTCCCCTCTACACGCAGCTCAGACAGCGAATTGGACTTCTCCCAGGAAACACTGCCTAGTCGAACTCACATAGAACTTTCCGGAGAATATGAAGTCTCCCCAACACTACAGCCTTCTGCATTACCCAGAGTGTCAGAGGAGCTGTGCTCCTAGTTGAGAACCCGGGCACTCTTCCGATCTGCGCCAAGAGATCAGGAGGTACCAAACCAAGGGCATCGAGAACAATGGGGAGCCTGACAACAGTGTACTTGGGATGCAAGCGAGACAGTTCAAAGGCAAGGTCCGCATACCTATCATGCTTTTCCTGAATCTTGCGAATCACATTGCTGTCAACAGGGACAGAAAATTCAATGATATAAATAAATTCATTGGCTTTATCAAAAAAAGACAAGATCAGGTTTGTTTGCTGGAATTCTTCTGAGGCTGTATATGGGCCTATTCCAAAAACAGTTTAAAAGCATCATTTTCCATGACGCCCTGGACATGTTCTGGGTCGTACCATGGATGGACCTCAGAGTCAAAGCCACAGGCATGTCGAAGAGGGTAGTAGAAACAACGAGCCATGCCATCATGTCGTTTAAGGTATGCTGTTTGTGCCAAGGAAGGGCATCCACTGACAAGGTATTGGGCAGTCTCTGTAAATTCATAACATAGTCGACATTTCATGTTGATATTTAGGCGATTGCGAGCGGGAAGTGACTGGTCCTGGCCTCAGTTTCACATTTGAGACAAGCCGATTTCATCCAGGCGAAGGAGTCGGTTGGATTGCTATTCTGTTCCACACACTGCATGTACACACGATGCAAAGGCTTCTCAGCAAGCTTCTACACAAATGACCGACTCTGAGCAGACTTGACGAATAACTTCACTTGGTTTATTCCCATCACTGTACCTTCCAGCAGTACATCGCCATCAGCAAAATCAACCTCAAATTTCAGATTATGTCAAAGAACCTTGGCACGCTTAAGATAGCTGTGGAATTCCTTGCTTTCATCATAAGTCTTTTCATGCATCACCAGAGGATCATAAATAAATATGTGCAAAAGTACACAATAAAGTTTTATCATGAAGACCCTCCACACTAGCGCACATATCCACGTAACTAGTACATACTCAAGGTGCTGGTATTTTTTCCCCTCGATCATTGGATGTCAAACTCAGCGGCACGTCGTATTATCAATCGTAACTCCCAGGGGATCATACAACTCTTGCAGCCACTAGGCGCACCGAATTATTGCGGCTTTCTCATCCTTACGAGGTACCCATTCACAGCTGGGTGGACAGGGGCACATAGTCACAGTGCTTTGTCCAAGTTCACTGCACGTTGCTGTACCTGCAACTAGGTGTTTGCGCGTATTCATGTGGCCACCGTCTGGTCATATACCAACGCATTCGTTGGTTCTTTTAAGTGAACAGGGTTGTGTACTGTACACTAGGGGTTGTGACAACACTGAGACAGTCTGCACGCAAAGTTGACTCCAAGGTTTTTACACCCAGTCACAGGTGGGCTCGATCCCGACATCTCTCGCTGGATCACTAGTCTGGCGCCTAAGCCAGCTCGCCCACCATCTCTCAAGATTAGTATTAGTTCTGCGCTAGATTCCATGCATGAAAGTAAAGGAATGTAAATTGCATCATTTACAAACCGTACATTATTTAAAGATATATGTAAGTCCCCCAAACATTCAAATTATATTTAATCTTGTTCGTCTAATGCTTGGTTAAATTTGTCAATATTGCAAAGATCTGGTATGGTACGGTATAAATCCAGCTGGGGTCCATGCAGGTAGTAAAGGCACAGTAAGTCCCCATGGTCCCTAGTACGGTGATCTATCTTCAGTTGTTGGCCATCTATATCCCATTATATACTTATTGTCCTAATTTGAAATCCTAACTTGAAATCCAGTATTAGAGAGAGATGCTGGTTTTATTTCGTGGTACTGTGATATTCTAGTTGGTTTTACTGTCCTTCGTTGACAGGTTTCTATAATTTACGTGTATTTATGGTGAATCTAAAACTTGTTTTAGTTACGATATGGCTGAAATATTGCCGATGTGACTGTAAATCTTAACTCACTGACTCACTCACAATATATATATATCTGTTTAGATTGATATGCTGGCCAGAGTACTGGCTGGTGTAATTACAGTTTTCTGAAGAGTTTTTTCTGTCATGCTAAAATTAGTGCCAATGCTATAATCCATCCTTGAAGTTACTGGGGATCTCACCTAAGCATGAGCTGTATTTGTGGTCAAGGACCTTCGGATGCCAACATTGTTTCGCTTATTGTTGTATCGTGGTCGGGTGACGTTCACACGACGTTCCATTTACAAAAGGGCATCGTTTATCAGCCCCAATCTCTTCACAGTCTTTGAAAATGGCCGACTGTAACACTTGTTTACCATCACACCAGCTCCCCAGCCCATCTGTCTGAGAGTTATTGGGTAGTTGAGTATCTTCCGCAATAACGTCTGACAGTCTGTTTTCCTTCTTTGGGTGGCGTTTTAGAAGTTGGGCAGTAACATGTTTGGCGTTTAATGTGAAAGGCTTCGCTGTGTTTGCCTTAACTTTGGGTGGAGCTCAACAAACTGCGCCTGTCAACCCAACCTTTTGAAACCGGAAAGTAGATGATACGATCGTCATTCTCCAACCTTATCAGGATCCCAACCAGCTTCTGAACCATCTAAACAACGTACAACCCCTCAACATATTCACCGTGGACAGAACAATCAACTACCTTTCCTTAACGTCCTTGTATCCCACATTTCCTCAAACCACTTTGTACAGAAAACCTACACATACAGATCAGTACATCCACTACAACTACAACTCCAACCATCCTCCCAAAGTTACGATCGACTTCATCCACTCTAACCAGAAGAGCTCAGAACATCATTGAATCTGCATGAAGAAATGTCATACGTGAAGAGAGAAATTGTAGAATTAAACCATATCCAGCCTCAGCTCTGTCCCCTCCCTCCGATAGACCAAACCAGATTCAGCCCCCATCAGGATCTACATTCCCTACATTAGTAAACCATTACACCAAATTGCTCGTCTTCCTGAGTTTTGAGCGATTTACTCGTAATACAATACAATGACTATGATTCGCGTTTGTTGCTTCTGGTTGATCATTACTATCATGAGTGTGTGTTGCATTAATTAATTGTAGGCATTTTTTATGATAATGGATTTATTAGCCAATAATGTAGTTGGCCGGGTCCGGATTTTAGACCATCCCCTGTTTTACGTACTATGATGTCTCCTAAGTATCTGGTATTACTCAATTAAGTGCACATATCAATAGAAAGAACGTGAGGCATATCGATGCTGTGTTTTAAACTAAACACGATACACCGACATTAAAACATGAAAGGCCTCAGTGCTGAACATTTCCAGATTTGATGCATAAGTGACAAAAAATTATGTCGGATGAATTACCTATTTTGACGTGTACCGTATGTTCCCGAATTACTTAGAGTGAACAAATAACCAGACTTTGCTCATGTTTATGACGGGTGCCACCAGTGGGGCAGGATATGCTCACCTTTCCGCGAACACCTTGTATCATCACTATTTCATAGTGACTCATAAACACATGCTCGGTCATCGTATCGCATGGTGACAATCACTGGAGTGTCTGCTTCAGTCACATTTGTTTACAAACTGCCTCCATATACCCAGCATGACCTCCACAACTACCTCCATATA